AATATTTACTGTACCTACAGTGCTAAAAAATGAACCACCCTGAATAACTTTTGATTTCGATCTTCTTGATCGGATCTTCGTGTTCTAGAATTCAATCTTAAAGAATAGAGGGAGTTAATAAGTGCTGATGATATTTAGAGTTATGAAATCAGACGAAAACGTACTTTCTCTGAATAAACATACCCTTTTTTTGGATTCATATTTCTTATTCCCCAAGTTATTGGAGGTAGCTGCTCTATTTGAAATATGGTTCCAATATTTTGTTCAGGAGAGAGCTACAAAATTTGGACCCATTAATGCTAATTTTACTTTTTGGGCATTTCGCTACATCTCGAAAACTTCTTAAACGATTTGAAAACTCGTTAAAACTCGTGCCCATAAATATAAAATTTGTTTATCCAAAGATAATTACCAGCAAAAAATAACTTTCAATAAACATTTATTATTTTTCAATATTTTATTTACTAATAGTCGAAGAAAATTTTAATTTTAAGGTATACAATTTTTTAAATAATTTTAAAGAATATAATTTTGCTTGGTAAAATACAAAATTTGAGCAAAATCGGTTTAATGATTCTTAAAAAAATTGAATTTCAAAAAAATCAGATATTTATTAATTTGATTTCACAGGAATCATTTGACAAATTTCGCTTAAATTTTGTATTTTGACAAGTAAATTAAGTTTTTAAAATGATGTAAAAATTGTATATCCTACAAATCAAAGTTTTTTCAACCATTATTAAATACAATAAAAAATAATAAATATTTAATAAAGGTTATTTTTTGCATAGAATTATCTTTGGATAGACAAATTTTATAAATATGGACAAAGATTTTTAGATTCATTAAAAAAGTTTTCGATATTCTAGCGAAATATGTAAAAAGTGAAAATAATATTAAGAGGTCAAAATTCTGGACCGCTCTCCCGACCAAATTATTGGGACCATATTTCCCAGATTAATCTAATTTTGTTCTAACTAAATTACACCCTATATTTTGGGTGTCAGAAATCCAAATCCGTCGGAAAAAGTTACGTTTATTCTGAAAAAGTACGTTTTTGTGTCTAATTTCATAACTTAAAATATCATCTGCACTAAATAATTAGCTTATTTTAGGTCACCCCTTCGAACCATNGGTAACAAAAAAATTCCTTAAACATTAATGTTGAATATTAAACTTTGTGTTTTTTTAATCATTTTTTATGAAAAAAAGAAATTCTGACTTTTTTATTCAATGTATTCTGGTGTTTGGGAAGTAATTTCCTTTTTTGTATGAAAATGAAAGGTGATTTTCTCATAGTGTACCTACAGTGCTAAAAAATGAACCACCCTGAATAACTTTTGATCTCGATCTTCTTGATCGGATCTTCGTGTTCTAGGATTCAATCTTAAAGGATAGAGGGAGTGACCTCAAATAGGCCAATTAATAAGTGCAGACGATATTTTAAGTTACGAAATCAGACGAAAACGTACTTTCTCTGAATAAAAATACCCTTTTTTGGATTCATATTTCTGATTTCCCAAGTTATTGGAGGTAGCTGCTCTATTTGAAATATGGTCCCAATACTTTATTCAGGAGAGAGTTACAAAATTTGGACCCATTAATGTTAATTTTACTTTTTGGGTATTTCGCTACAACTCGAAAACTTGTTAAACGATTTGAAAACTCGATTTGTTTATCAAAAGATAATTTCAAGCAAAAAATAACTTTCAATAAACATTTATTATTTTTCAATATTTTATTTACTAATAGTCGAAGAAAATTTTAATTGTAAGGTATACAAATTTTTAAATCATTTTAAAGAATATAATTTTGCATGGTAAAATACAAAATTTGAGCAAAATCGGATGAATAATACTCGGATAATCGGATAAAAAAATCGGATAAAAAATTGAATTTCAAAAAAATCGGATATTTATTAATTTGATTTCTCAGGAATCATTTGACAAATTTCGCGTAAATTTTATATTTTGACAAGTAAATTAAGTTTTTAAAATGATGTAAAAATTTTATATCCTACAAATTAAAGTTTTTTCAACTATTATTAAATACAATAAAAAATAATAAATATTTAATAAAGGTTATTTTTGCATGGAATTACCTTTTTATAGACAAATTTTATAAATGTGGACGAATATTTTAAGATTCATTTAAAAAGTTTTCGATATTCTAGCGAAATATGTAAAAAGTGAAAATAATATTAAGAGATCAAAATTCTGGACCGCTCTCCCGACCAAATTATTGGGACCATATTTCCCAGATTTATCTAATTTTCTTCTAACTAAATTACACCCTATATTTTGGGTGTCAGAAATCCAAATCCGTCGGAAAAAGTTACGTTTATTCTGAAAAAGTACGTTTTTGTGTCTAATTTCATAACTTAAAATATCATCTGCACTAAATAATTAGCTTATTTTAGGTCACCCCTTCGAACCATTAAGAATGTGTCCTAAAACTTGAAGATTCGATCATTAGATTACAAATTTAGGTGTAGTCCCGTTTTTTCAGTTCATTGTTCATCAGTCAAATAATGCACGTTACTTTAGAGTGCAAACAATAATCTTAATCTAATTATATGCTTTGTTAAATTTCGTGTTTTGATAATTTTTCGTGTTTCCTTATCTGACCTCTCCTAAAACTTTTCTTCAACTAAAAAGTCTACAGAAAATATTCCATGCCTCCCAAAAGAGTGAATAGAATAGAATTGAATAGAATAGAATAGTTAGAGGAACATCGTTTTTAGCTGGAGGTGGTTTCCCCGGACTGCCAGCAACGTTGAACACATTTGATTCATCGAGTCAATGAGGTTATTAATGAATTGCTGGGGTATTCTGCCCCACTCCTCCAGAAGAGCTCTTGCCGGTTATTGGACAGTTCGTTGGATGTTAGGCAGACATCTGCATTTCATCTGCCTGTACTTCCCAAACATGCTCGATTGGGTTCATCTCAGGAGAACACGCTGGCGCCATTCCATTGGTTTAATTCCTTCCTCCAAAAGGAAATCGTTCACGATTTGGCATGCAATTGTCGTCCATTAACAAGAAGCTCCAACTGCTGTTATTAACATGACACACACCATCGTTCGGCGAGCATGCAGACCCACAGCTTGAAGGTCGTTTCGGACAATTTGTGTCGAAACTCTGAGACCACTAGCTGAGTGAAGGTATCGTTGCAGAAGAGTGGCATTCATATTTTAGTGTCTCTGAGCCGTCAGCACTAAATACCCGTCTTCATCGGCCGTTATTGTGCGTCTACTCCCTTGTCTTGACATTCGGCCTGCTTTTCTAGTCTCCAAAAGCGGTTGCAGGGAAGCAGTTGCTTCGCTTTCTGCAAAAGACTTATTAAATTGGCAACCAATTAAACGGTAAAATATATAGAACAAAGACAGCTACGCTCACTTTTTAAAATTGTCAGAACAAAATAACTGCATACCTCCCAACTCATGGCCTTTGAAAAATATATTACAAATTAGTATTAAAACAACAATTAATTTTCTAAAATTTTTTATATCTATAAACATAATGAGAGTTTATCTACATATTTTTTGAATAATTGATTCGTCGTGGTATTTGTCGCTTTTAAAAACAATTTCCAGTTTTCCTGTAATTATTTTCGTGTTGCGCTGCGAAATGGTTCGTTATGTTATTGGTATTTGCTCACATCATAGTAGATGTCATGAATTTATTCGAATAAATTCAATTGAAAAGGTGTTTTAGTGCAATTAATTGCGATAATTAAATACCTGGTGAATTGAGTAAAAAAACAGGTTTGAATTACATTAAAATATAATGTATGTTTCAATTTTCAGGTGACTCTGTTTTACTCGATGGAAAGAAAGGTGTGCTTCAAAGACAGCCGAAACCACAAGAATAAAATCAAAAAATTTGTCACACGATTCGGAAAAATAGATGTAGCTGTATATTTCTATCTGTGAAGTATCCATACTAATCAATGAACTTGAACATTAAGAAAAATTGACCTCATTTCGATAAAACGTCTGTTGTATTGCGAGATGTCATTAGCTTCAAATAAAACATATACTTTTTAGTTGCATTCAATTTAGTTATAACCATAATTTTGCTTATTTTATTTGATTTATACATACACCAAAAAACAAATAGACTGAAAGCTAATAAAACCTAATTTTAAGGCTGTGATTGGTGAAACAGTGAAAAAATTTCATTCTTCACATAAAATAAAAAAAAAGTAATCTAAAGCATTGAAAATGAAGAATGAAATTTTTTTATTTTAATATTTTTGAATAAATTTCTTAAAACATCAAAATTTCAATTTTTTCATATGTCAAAAACGCATTAAGGTTTCTGCTTTAATCACTAAACACTATTATTTAAATTATTGAGAACCTTGTGAAAAATATGTGCTAAATACCTTACAGTTTATTTTGGGTGTTAGTTGCAATCATATCTTAACAGTAAGGAAGAATGCTATACTCCACCAAAATTACGGTAAACTATTAGCAAGCAATAATTTACCGAATATCCACTATAAAATGAAGAATGCAACAATCTACCAGAATTGCGGTATTTTATTAGCTGATCATTAATTCTATTAGTGTTAGCCCAATCTTTATTCGAACTCCTCCATACAAGATTTTCTATATTATAAAAGAAAACAGTTATTTCAGTGTAATTTAAAGGGGAAATAAACACTAACAAGGAAACATCTTTACAATTTTGCCCAAATGTTCATGTATATATTTCGAAAAGATATTGTATTACCATAGAGTCGCGAAAAGATCAAAGTTTTCATTATTAAACTCATTCTTGTTTCAAAAAAATCTTTTTCATCTACTTTTCCGTTGTTCAGTTTATTTCTGATTTTTCAGGGTGGTAATATAAAGTTTTAAATTAATAGAAAGCGGAAAGGAGTACTTGAAGTTTAAACTTTAAAATTCTACAAATCTTACAACGCATGCTTCTTTTTTCAAAAAAGGTTTTTTTAGTGGGAAATATACATTTTATCAATAAGCAATCAAGAACTAAGTAAATAAATATTTATTGCTATGCGTGACTTGTACAACGTATAATAAAAACAACACAAAAAAATATGTATTAACGTAGATCACATAATATTGACTGCCCATTTATTCTAAAATGAAGTATATTACACCAAAAATTATTTCATAGTTCGTTGCTTTTTATTTCACTAAAATTTGTTCCACTTCTTGTTGTTGCTGAATAAGAGGCCTGGAAACAATTGATCTCAAAGCTCCAGCATCGGAAAAATCGTAAGGGTATTGGGATAAAAATGACAATCGTGGCAAATATGCTCCAAGATTTGCCCTTCCAAGACCGGAAGCAATATTTTCCTGAACGATGGCATCAGCTATGTTTTGTTGAGCGAGACCTCCTCCACTCTTGGTCACTTCGGTTACTTTGTTTAATTCTCCAGTAAGAGGATCTGAAACAATTGTTTCTTTAACTTGAGTGACACCACCGAAGTCATCAACAGATACTTGAGTTTGACCACTTCCGAGAGGATCTACCAAACTTTGCACGCTTTGGCTGAGGGCAGCATCTGCAAGAGTTTCTTGGATTGCAGTTTCGATTGGGTCTTGGGTGACTTGGGATATTTGGCTTGTTGTGACAGCTCCTGTAAATGGGTCTTCTTCTTGCACGATGGTGGTTTGCGTGGCACCAATCCCAGCCAATCCACCAGTGGCAACACCTCCAATTTTGCCCCCATAACCAACTGGTCTAAGTCCGGACAAATTATCAGACAAAATTGTTTTGGAAAGACCTCTTCGGCCAGTGAGAAAGGAAGTAGGATAAGATCCGTAATCCATACCTAAAAGTCCAAAAGGTACTTGAGATTGACCTACTCGGTACAGACCTCTGTTTCCAAAAAGACCATCTCCAACTGAAAGTTGAACTGAACCAGCTCCTAGTCCACCACCTTTAACTCCTCCAATTGGAGACACCTTTGAAACGACGACGGGAGCACCTGAAAGAGGGTCTTGCACTACAGCGGTATGATGTACAGCTCCCCCACCACCGAGTTTACCTCCAAAACCAACTGGTCTAAGACCAGACAAATTATCAGACAAAATTGTTTTGCCAAGTCCTCTTCGGCCAGTGAGAAGGGAAGTAGGATAAGATCCGTAATCCATACCTAAAAGTCCAAAAGGTATTTGAGATTGACCAACTCGGTAGAGTCCTCTGTTTCCAAAAAGACCATCTCCAACTGAAAGTTGAACAGAACCAGCTCCTAGTCCACCACCTTTAACTCCTCCTATTGGAGACACCTTTGAAACGACGACGGGAGCACCTGAAAGAGGGTCTTGCACTACAGCGGTATGATGTACAGCTCCCCCACCTCCGAGTTTACCTCCGAAACCAACTGGTCTAAGACCAGACAAATTGTCAGACAAAATCGTTTTTCCAAGTCCTCTTCGGCCAGTGAGAAGGGAAGTAGGATAAGAGCCATAATCCATGCCTAAAAGTCCATAAGGAATTTGAGATTGACCAACTCGGTAGAGTCCTCTATTTCCAAAAAGACCATCTCCAACGGAAAGTTGAACAGAGCCAGCTCCTAGTCCACCTCCTTTTACTCCTCCGATAGGATTCAGCTTAGATACGACAACTGGAGAACCTGAAAGGGGATCTTGAACTACAGCAGTGTGGTGTAGTGCTCCACCACCACCAATTTTAGAGGGTCCTGCAAGACGACGTCCAAATCCAACTGGTCTGAGTCCAGACAAGTTATCAGACACAATTGTTTTTCTCCTAAGTGACCTAGGAGCAGTGAGTAAAGAAGCGGGATATGATCCGTAGTCCATGCCTAAGAGTCCATAAGGAATTTGAGATTGACCAACTCGGTACAGTCCTCTGTTTCCGAAAAGACCATCTCCAACTGAAAGTTGAACAGAACCAGCTCCTAATCCACCCCCTTTAACTCCTCCGATAGGAGACACTTTAGACACGACAACTGGAGCACCTGAAAGGGGATCTTGAACTACAGCTGTATGATGTACACCTCCCCCTCCACCTAAAATTAAAATACCAATTCTTAAAATACAAAAAGCCACCAAAATTAGAATTAAAAAAGAAAAAAACTAAAAGATCGTCATCGATCCTAAGTAATAAGCAATAGGTTTTAGAGTATTTGTTACTATAAAAAATATCCACTATAATGAAAATGAATATGATTAAATATCCACCGTAATGAAACAAAAACTTGAATCAATTTTACAAGAAAGGTTTTCATCACGAAAACATTATAATTACATTTAATTGCAGGTTATACACCTTAAAATGAAATTAAAAGAGCGACAACTATAAAATTCATAAAAATTAACTTTAAGACGATAATTTTTTTGTATTGGTCAAATATCAAGAATAACCGTCATTTTATTATTTTAAGTACATTTTCTTCATGGCCGTTGTTTCCTCTAATAATTATGAAACTATTAATTAAAACTGATTAAAGCAATTTAAAACTTTACATTCTAACACAAGGATTTTTTAAAATCTTGTATACATATTTTTAAAGATGAAAATTTAAATAACTTGAAATATTGTTTTCAAGCATAAATAATAATTGCCCAAGTTCATAATCAATTTAAACTTCAAAATTAATTGTAAAAATATAAATAAATCATTTAAGTGCTTTAAACTGAAGGAATTGCTATGATTTAAAATTTTCAAGTAATTAGTAGATTATTAAAAATTAAGTATGTGATATATTTATCACTAAACATTGAATCTGAAGTAATGTTACTGTGAATGATCAAAATTGGTTGTTGATGACTTCCACCGGTGAATGTCGACAATCACGTAGTCGCTTTGGTAAATGTCCGAAATATATACTAGGTCTAGTTAATTACCACTTCCCGGTATACCCTGCACTGAGTATTTTCTCTGGCTTAGTGCCACTGCCCGGGATACATTTGTCCTATAATCGGAGCACTGATGTTTCTCCTAATCTATCCTCAGCAGATATTAAAATATAGAATAAATAAAATAAAATCACCGAATAAATTAATATTAAATTGATATAACAAATATTTCGGACATTTACCAAAGCGATTATGGGATTGTTGACATTCATTGGTGAAAGTCAGCATTCTCTTGATATCGATCTATCACAATAATGTCTCTAATGCTTAGCAATAAAACAATGTAACATTTATTTCAATATTTTATTAAAATTAACTACAAAAAGCGCACATCTAAACTCGCATGGGTCTGGATGAACTTAGATTAATTAAACGTCAAATACAAATTAATTTACACCATGAATTTTTTCTGTTAAATACTTTGACAAGATGCGAATATAATGTTATTTTTAAGACAGTTGTTTTCCTGTCACAGATTAATTTATTAAAATAATCTCAAACTTAAAGGAAGAAAGAAATAATTAACATTTGAGGTTGTGATTTGCCAGTCTTCTTTTGATATTAACATTTTAAATTATAGTTGAGCTTTATATTAAAAGGAAATAAATTAATAAATGAAAAGTTGTACTCACCAACTTTACCTCCAAAAACACGAGGACTCTAAAAAAATAAAATATTTTCAAGATTCTTCTGAAGAAAATGCAAATTTAATTGTAAATATATTCATCTAATTAATTAATTGATATTTGTAAGTGTAATTAAGTGCTTTAAGCTTTCTTTTGCCATATTGGTATAATAAATATTTATTTATCATCTACAATTTAGCTTCAGTATTTATTATTTAAAACTTGAGACGACTCAAGTTCCAGTCATTTTAAGAAATATCATATTTTATAAATAACAAAGACTTATTAAGAATGAATAAAAGAACGAAGGCTGCAGCAGTCTTTTTTTTTTTACAATAATAACTGCGATTTGTTTTAAGAAGATTTAAACAGAAGTTCCAATTTTGCCAAATAGATGGCACTATGTACGCTCAGTTTAAAGAAATTTGCATTTTTCGGTATTAATCATAATTTTATATTTTATTCCAAAATATTTTCTAATAGTTTTTACGAATAAAATTATTCTTATTTATTTAAAATTGAGAATAAATTCAAAAAGAGGAAAACTTTATACCTTTAAGTTTAGAATAAGAAAATAATTTATTTATATTTTTAATTTTTTTTAAATATATTTAAAATAACTATACATTTATAGTTGATAGAGGCTACAATTAGAGGCTGTAATTCAATTTTCGTCCATAAATTTATTCTATTTTCCTTTTGTTTCTTTTTTTTGTATTCCGATAATTAGTAACGTGTGAATTTACTTAAACGAAATTTTTTCTGCAAATGTTAGGAATTCATTTTTGTCCAGTAAATAACGAATCTGGTTTTGCATTATTCAAAACACAAACTTTGGTAAATTTAAATAAAAATTTGCACTATGAAGTGTTTAAGTATAGGAAAAAATCGTGAGATATAGTCATGTTATTTTAATTTATTTAAAAAGATTAACAAATCTTGATTACAAGTAATGTCTTACACTAGCTTTTTTTATGTTAAATTTTATTTATTTCATTTCATTTATTTGTTTTCTGAAATAGACTTCAGAAACTTCGAAATTTTGAAATAATTTGAACACTAATAAAAAAAACTTTTTTATAACCACAAAACAACATATTAAACTTTTTATCGGTATCAGTGTTAATGGTAATATTTTTTATTGATTTATCATTCAAAGCTCTTAGTATTATATAATATACGCTACTATTTTTAAAAAATCAATTTTAGCATTAAACTAATCCATAGTATTGTTTCTAGATAGGTACTATACGTGTTTTTCACAATTTACATGAGAAATACCCGATACAATTTATGCTTTTTTACAAAATGCATATTGACCGAGTTGTTTCAACAAAATTGCTTTCTTGAAACATTTAGTGGTTTATGAAAAACATGTGATCAGCAAATAATCGTTCTCACCGTCAACAATCCTCCTCCACCTTTGATTCGTTGAGCTCCAATATTGGAGACGACCAACAACGTTAGAAGACTAACGACCTATAAACAATGATTTGATACACTGTTAATTTGAAACATAATGATTTGATACATTAGTCAAAAATATTTATGTAAAGAAAATTATACAAAAATATACATAAATTTAATATGCTATATGGAAGTAAGAAAATAGCAATAAGTTTGCCATATATTGCTTGGGAAATGACAAGTCTATGTAACACTTAAAATCCAAAAATATGAAAACTGGTTCAACAAACTATTTTTTTATTTATTCTTTAAAATTTATAGCGGCACTTTTGTCTGCTATAAATTGGTATCTCTTTTTTAGGTTTAAAACTATTTATATATCAAATTAAAAACACAGACTAGTCCTGCGCAAGTGACGTGGAAATGCTATTTCAATTGAGATTAAAAGATGGTGTTTCATTAAAATTTAGTCAACGCTTAAACACATTTTCAGAGAACTAACAGGCCCCACTATATATATTTTTTAAATATTTAAATATAATGTAGGTCAAACTAATTTAATGCATTGCAAGAGGGTCACATTACAACAAGTTTATTTTTAAAAATTGTGCAATCCATACAAAAGTTTGAAAAGTGGTAGCAAAACTACCTCATTTCCACTTATCTATTCGGTAAATTATCCATTCGATTACCACAAACATAAATGATTCAGTATATATGTAATCAGTACTTTAATTCTCTCGTTATAATTTTTTTTAAATTGAAGTTGTAGCCGTAGTTACAACTTTTATAAAAATATTGCATATCACTTTTTTTTAAAATTTGAATCAATAACAGCTATGAATTATATTTTGGAATACTTGCCACGTGCAATGCGTTAATCCAGGGACGAAAGCCTATTTAAAATAATTTTATTGCAAGTACGCAGCTGCCAACACTTCCTGTTTTCCTGGAATATTCTATTTTCATATTTAAAAGTGGTAGCGAAACTCATATTATTCGTTTAACTTTTTGAATCATAATAAAAATTCTTTGAACACCACTACATCTAAATAATTATAAAAAATATATATAGGCATAATACAACTACCGTTGGAGAAATTCAACTTGGCCCATATATAAATATAGTTTTGAATAAGATTTCTGATCGGCAAATGTTTTCCTACCACTTGTGAAATACATTTTTGGAAAGAGCAAACTTGGCAAGCATGTTGCACACATAGAGTGGTAATGAGAAAAACGACTTCCCAAAAAAACCGGTAGCACATATGTCATTTTATCAGATTATTAAGCCTGCTAATTCTGAGTTTAATGATACAGAATCCAAAGGAGAATATAAATCACCAAACACCGTTCTCTGTAGAAGAAACCCTCTGAATAAAATGGAATTAATCTGACGTAGGCTGGCAGTAATTTAAATGATTAATGTCTTAAAAAGTGTACTCTTTGAAGCAGAATTTTTAATTAAGCATATTTTTCATACTTTTTTCATTATTTATGTTATTTTGGGTCAAAGTAAATGAAAAATAATATATTCAGCATTTCAATTATTATTTATTTCAAATTATAATTAGCATTTAATTATTGGTTTATAGTATTATATTATTATTATATTATTATATTATATTATAGTATTATATTACAGCAGGAGACACCGGTGTCTTTTTATGCGTTAAAGATAAAATCTTCCAAACACAGCTCCCTTCCAAATATTATTTTTTATTTCAAATTTGCGCTTATTTAAATCTAAGAGAAACAGCTAAAAATCATTGAAATTTCGTCAATTTACACTATCAATTATTGATTAATTTTTGAACATGAATAAAAAAGCTACTTTTTTCGGACTTTATATTTTAGTACAAATACAGTTGCGATAATATAACAGATTTTTTTCAGTAACTATTAGACTGCTTTTTCAGTATTAAAAATGCTAAATTGTATTTTTCCATGTAATCAGAGCATCAGAAAAAGTCTAGAAAAGGGAAACCAGTATCCCATCTGAGTTAAAGGATTAATAAAAAAAACATGTAAATAGTAAAAAGGGTATTGCAAGTTTGCTTATGGCTATATCCTTCTGCTTTAATTTTACCAGCGAATAGGAACTTCAAAATGACTGGAGATCCCACATAGAATTATTTAAGTTATTAATATGTCTGTGATAGAAAAAACTACGAAGAAAAGGTACTACTTGTGAAAATCTTGCGCTACTTTTCTCTATTTTTGAAAAAAAAAACAAAGAAAATGAAGGAAATTGTTTTAATAAACGAACAGGAAATGATACCAGAGGACGAAGTATACTTACTAGCTTCATTTTCAGAGAGTTAATTGAGGGCTGACGATTGCTGAGAGAGCAAGAAGAAGCCAGTGACGACTGTCGATCATTCCTGAGCTTATATACTCAATTCGAAAACGATATTCACTGCCCTGGGGTTGATTTATGCTCATCTCCGAGATGACAGTCAAGGGTCGCACGTCGAGAGCGACAATATGTGAACGAGGAGATCGCAATCGAAAGTATTTGAGATGATCTTGACTTACTTGTTACATCCAGACACGTTCTACGGTGGCAAAGAAAGGAACAGTATTTAGCCGTTACGTAAAGCACGTGACCCCTGCCTTCGCTATTTGAGGAATTTCATAGGCAAAAATAAATATTCTTTTGTCAATATTTCCTAAAATATACGTAAGCAATCATACTGAAGGGTAGTTGATAAAATCCATTCCGTTAATATTACGTAAATATACCAGAACTTTTTTACTAAATATCTCAAAGGAAAAATCATTCCGTCAATATTACGTAAAATTTACGCATTAAACATATTGACTTAACCAATTTCCCAAAAGTTTGTATTTAATTTACATATCATATGCAACATGGGTAATATGCTGATGTAAATCATAATTCCCAGAATTATTTTCCTCGATGACCGGAGAAGTAAATAACTATGTAATTGCAATGGTTATAATTTACTAAGTATTTTGATAGCCTAATTTAATTATATCCTGAAGTAAATTTTTTCGTTCAATTTTTGAATGTTAATCATTTGACTGATAATTGAACAAAGGGTTCGGGACAAAAAAAACTTTCAAATTTTGTAATTCTTCAATTATATACAACATGATATATTACATAAAATGCAGAAAAATTATTAAAACGAATAATTTTGATTTGATTACATTTATCTATTTTTTGTATTTAGTTTTTTCTGGAAATTAAAAAAAAGTAAATACGGTGGTATTTATTTAAAAAAATGCGATTTTAATTTCAGCACTTATGTTAGGGGGCCCGTTAAGTTGTGTCGTTTCGGTGCATTTGATATTTGTTGTCAAGATTTTATTTTTAATCAGTAATGTATTCACCCTCGTAAGCAACAACCTTTCAATATCGGATCGAAAATCACTCGAAATGGACTGAAAAAAATTAATTAGTTTTTAAAACCATCGAATATTTAATGCTCCGAAGCGACATTACTTTCCGGACCCCCTAATACTAAAAAAATAATTCCTAAATGCAGAATCTATACATAATAATAAGCGCGGCTGTGTGTGTGTCTGTCTGTAATCACAATATATCGCCCCAGAAGCCTCGCCCAGGCACGAAACTGGGCACATAATTGTGTTTTGACATAATGAAGAAGTATTTTTTTTTCTTTTTCAAAAATTTGGATTAGTTTTTTAGTTATCAGTCGTGCTATGCTTTTTCGTCCTCAAAGAGCCATATTCAAAAAACTATTAAAAAATGCATATACTTTTCTCCACTCTTATAAATGTGTGCTAATGCGAACCTTACAATTGAAATATTAATTTTCGACAACTTAAACCAATAATATACGAAGGAATTAATAATTTAATTGTAAGGTTCGCATTAGTTTACATTTATCAAAGTGGAGAAAAGTTTAACTTTTGTATTAAAAATGTGGCAAC